AGACGGAGACCAGTACGGAAATTAAGAGGCTTTGCTGAATTTTAATTTTGTGTCTGTAAATTCTGTACATTTAATTAAGTTATTGTTAATTATCTATTGGTTTAATGTAAGTGGCTATTGTTCGGGACGAACAATACTAAGAAAGGGGCAGGGTTACGACAGCAGAATTCACGTGACGCTGGTAACACGTGATGAGTTTCTAGAAGGATCATGAAGGCTCGAATGTTTGCAAGACGCCCTCTATTTTTGTATATATAAGTCCGGCAAATAAAGCGGAGAGAATGAGTGACGGCTTAGATAACGGCAGATAGGGAGATATAGAGACAAATAATCGAGTCAAGTGAGCGGTAGTGACCGTAAGTAAAGTACGTGAATCGTTGTGAATTAAAGCGTGTGTTGAAGTGAAATTGATTGTGGAAATTAAGTGTATTACAAAGATTGTAACGAGAAAGAATAAACTAGTTTTAATTAAGAAGGAACTTAATCGCTGAAGTTACTTGGGAAGAATTTTTACGGGAAATTATCAAACAAGCAGATACGTTACACTATTTTAATATTGTAGTTTAGTTTACAGGAGGGCACACACTGGATTGGTCAGAAAGAGCTCACCAAGGTTTCGCTTCCCTTCTTTCTCTCGCCAGTCCAATACACTCACTACATATACAATTGCCTTTATTTTTTGTCTTATGTTTGTGATTTAGTTATGTGTTAATAAAGACTGTGGCGATGAAGCTTCTGCGTTTCGACTCTTTCTTCGTACCGAATTCAGAGAGAAATTCTGCTCACACTCCGTAATTAGTTGTCCTTCGAATCTCTTGTTACGAAATCCTACCACAACTACAACTTTGAGAGCATAATAATAAAAAAAGAAAAGGAGAAATACAAACGAGAATATCCGTAACTATAAAACGATTAAATGAAGAACGTAGTTAAAAACTAAACGTTAGTTTTAAAGCTACTACAGTACAAAAAATAACATTTTTGGGTACAAAATAATTATAATATTTAGTTTAATATACTTTACATTCACCAGATTGAGCCAGGTTTTCGTATTTTCCCTTCTTCGTATGTATCGGACATGACAACGTTGAGAACACGATGGTTAGAAAATTATTAACATATTTTGCTCTTTTTTCCGTAATTATATATTAAGTATTACAAATATTAATGCTCAATTTGTTTATATAGATATCGACATTATCTTTAAAGTAGATTTTTTAGGTATATAATATTTTTAAAAAACGATAATCACAAATTGAAGATAGGCTTAGCTCCGTTTAAACCAAACAAAACAAGTATCTATAAGTTATAACATTCTTAAAAGTTAATGTTGCAACAGTCCTAGTTTTCCAATTTTGGTACACTTTACCAACTGGCATTTGAAGTTGCCAAACGTTTAAACTGAATTTAAAAGTAAAACAAGAGCGTGGTGCTTTCAATTTAATTGATTTAAAGATTATTTGTATTATGTTAAGATGATAAAGAATTATTGGATTTTCTTTCTTCGCAAATTATTGTGTAAAACTATCGTTTATAAATTACAATTTCGAGGTTTTCGTGTTTTACCACATACACCCAATGTCAACGTAAATGAAAAACGCCAGTGATGATTTTCCCAATCTGTGACTAAATAAAGGCCTAGGATTGACCAAATGTTTTGTGGTGATGTGAAAAACAAGGATTTAGTTTAATTGTGAATGAGCATAAAGAAGGCTTAACAGTATATGGCTATAATAAGTAGAGTAAAAAATTAGATCTGATTAGTATTTGATATTCATTAACGTTTTGGATATACAGAAATTTAGAGTTTAAGAAGATAAGTAGATTATTGTTATTTTTGGCTTGTATATCATTTTCAGGGTTGTAGCTAGGAAGATTTAAGTAGTGTTTGGTAAAACTAAAAACAAGTCCAGCTCATAGGTACGTGTGCCCGTGGCTGCCGCCATTGTACACCCCTTGTATTTTCATGTTTATAATTTTAATGAATTTAAAATTTGTAAATTTCTTCGGAAAATCTGATAAAACACTCCACACAAACAATCACTAGCCAAACATATTGAAAGGTGAATGACGAGTCTAAAATGTAAGGCAAAGACCAATTTTAATCTAGGTTGAATTTTATTTTTCTGATTGATTTATCTTTATTAGCAGGTAATTGAAACAAATTAGTCACAATGAAATTAAAAAAAAGGTTTTATGCAAAAAAAACAACATTGATATACTTTCATATTATAGATATCTGTAAAAATTTGAAAATATTTTTACACACCATATAAACTTTTACTGGAAAGAAAATAGGATTTATATGGTATCCACTGTGGATATTATCTGATATGCTATTCTAAGTACAAGTGTGGTGTGAGCTGCTTTTTCAGTTTTGCATGCAGGTTTTTTTTCTGTGGACTTTTCTTGAAAAATTATTTTAGTGCAAAGGTTATTTGCTTTATGAGTTTTCAGGAAAGTGTTTGCTTCTACCAAGCTAATTATGAAGTAAACTGTACTGCGACATTGACAAAGAAATTTTCCATGCTTATGGTAAACTTTTCTCAGTAATATTTAGTGCCAGGTGGCAGTAGTCACATTGAACGGGAGTGCTGGGGGTTTGGCAGGGCGAGTCCTGGGTGGCACAGTCCACCATAGTTATGACCCTGATCATTTTAATAGTATGGTATTTCTGGTGTGGCTATTGTAGGAAATATAATAATACATAATTTTGAATTATGTAGTAATATCTTAAGTGTAGTAATGAAAGACTGAATATTTGAGGAAGTAACTTTGCTATGAAAACCTTAAACAAAATTTATCCGTCGATAAATATTTACGTCTTTCTCCACTTGTGAAATATTGTGCCTACTAACATCGATTGTATTGATAGTTTGGATTTGTTTGTTTTTCTGCTTTTGTTGCATGATCGTATCAAAATGTTTCGTGCAAAATTTTCAAGGTTTTTTTCTTTAACAATATACTAATTAATACTGTTTAAAACTTAATGCAGTTTTGGATCCAAGCATTAGACTGAAAATATAACGTTTAAATTACAGCATATGATGTTACATGTTTCTCACTACATGATCTCTCAATTTAAATATTTGTATTCTGCATCAGTTTTTATCATCTGGATTATTGTTTCATAAAACAACTGCAAGAAGAACATCAGCTTACTGCTTGTTTTGGAAATAATTTAGACAAGAAATGTAACAATAAACAATGTTGCCCACTGAAGTCACCACCTAATCCCAACCAATCAATAACTAAACACCAAGATACCAACCTATTTAAATGTAACCTTTTTGTATTTGTATGTTGGCAATAATTCCATATGGAAATGCTCTTTTTATGCTGCTCTGAAGTAAATACAAAAACTACAAGACAATAGATATTCAGAAACAAGACTACAAAATTACTAAATACATTTTGAGTTTAAAGCAATATTAATCTGTTCAATCAAGTAAAAACAACATTGACAACTGCAAAAAAATGTATCAAAGTATATTCATATAAAAATGTTCAATGATAAAGCATGTGAAGAGACCAAAAAATCAAGACATTAACAAAATTAATCTTAAACAAAATAAACATAATAACCCTGACATTCTGAAACAACTAATACGAAAAATTGTGCTACAATCTAAAATTGGTAATTATTATTTTATGTACTTTAATAAGTGAGGATAGTCAGAAAAAGGAATTTTGAAACTATCAGTCTTTTTTTTATGGTGAATATAAACCTTGTGCTAAAGTTTGAATATTTCATATTTAGTAATAAGAATTTTTGGGTATTCATGATTTGACAATTTGTGATAAAACAAAAATAGTGTTGGAACTGTCTTATTGCTCAGATATCTGTTGTTTTTTTCAAACTTTGTAGTTGTTACTGTTTAATGTGTTTAAAAGTTGGCATTAAGTTTTGTGTAGCATGCAGCTTATCTTAGAATATTGAGATATTATAAACATTGTTATTTTGTAAATAATAAAAGGAGATTAGATAATTTAGTTCTCTGACTTTTAGAATTAATAGGTAGATTTCTCATATCTTAAAATATGTAAACATTTGAATCTTATATATATATATGTTTGATTAAAAATAGAGTTTACAAGTTGTTTTTTATCCTAATTTTACAAGAAACCCTTACTTCTTCATGGTCATGAGCGAGCCATAACTCAAATCAAGTACAACAGAGAAGGTGACCTTTTATTCTCATGTGCTAAAGATCACACTCCCAATGTTTGGTTTTCTCTAAATGGAGAGAGACTGGGCACGTTTAACGGCCACAATGGAGCAGTCTGGGGCATTGATGTGAACTGTATCCTTTCTGAAACTTATTGTAATTAACTTGCTTGTGGGCTGTTACACACATTCTTTACAATGACAATTTATCTTGATCATAAGAAGAAATGTACAACTGAGGAGACATTGCCCTGTTTTAACTCTTTCAACCTGGATTCGGTCACTGGGACCGACCTCGTAACCGTTTTGTGCTTGTTATAGTTTTCATGCTATAGCTTTTAAATTAGTAAGCAAATGATAACAATATTTGGCAGTTTATCAGTAAATATTACAATGCTTTCATATGCAAATATTTAATTTTTTTATTAAGTTTTAAGGTTTGTAAAGCAATGTTTCTCTCATGCTTTTTGTTTTCTTTTCACATGTTGCCTATCTATCATGCGAAGTAATCTTCATTT